GCTACTGTGATTAAAGATATTCTTGAAAATTATATCGCACTGTACGCGATCCCAAGAGCCATTCGTAAAAACCAGGTGTCGGGTTTCATTGCAAAATAGATACAGGAAGTTTGTACCACTATTAACATTCAGTTAATTTTTGCTACGGTAGAACAGCATCTTGCCACGGGATCAGTGAAAAGATGCATACGTACACTGCGAGAACGTCTCATGGCTTAATCGTTTCGGAAACCATTACCGGCGCTAAAGTCAGCACCGAATTAGATTTTGTTCACAATTCGAACAACATTTCATCAATCAATGGGATGTTCGCCATTTGAGGCTCAGTTTAGTCGGAAACCAAATAAGGTCTGGCATATGGTCCCAAAAAGTGCTTGGTCGAGTAATTTATTTTGGAGAAATGTTTTGTATTTTCTAGATCGCAATAAGAAGATGTTTTCGGCACGAGTTATGCAGGAATACACGAGTCCGGACGACGACACTACCATGGGCATATACAATCGGGTAGAGCATCCGCTGGCGGAATCAACACCATTCCAGAGTGGGGAACCTAGCACTTGAACGATTAGGGCGCCAGTCTTTGCCGCTCAAAAGAAAGGTTATCGTCTATTTCGGAAAAATCAAGATCGGTTGAAATCGCAACCATACTTCGAACTTTGAACGAGAGAGTAAAACGGGAATCGGATCTTACCGTAACGTTGGACTAAGGAAAGGTGGTATATAAATCTGATATTTCGATTCGAAGTCACTAGCGACGCTGGATAAGTCTTTGCCGCCACGGCCAACAGACCGCCGTAAGGAAGCGGCTTTGAAAACTACTGCAGAACTACCTACAGGATCAATACCACGACAACCTTTGGGCGATGTAACGAGAACAGCCAACAATCCCATTTGTATTGACGTATAGACAGTTCCATCGAGGGTTTGATGCCCACCGACAGCCCGACGGTTAATCGGGACGCCATCAGGCTGTTGCCTAAGGCCAAGGGCAACGGGTCGCCGAGGGAACCGCCGAGTGTAGCGGAGGACAAGAGAGCCAAAAAGATACCAACTGATCTTATCGTTCCTTATTTCAGATTAGAGGAGAGTAGCGTGGTACTAAAGCATACGGAGATTCGGGGAAAACAATCAACGCCGATCGTGATATTGTCCATGGATGAGGGAGAGGATGCACCGAACACGACAACCCATGAATCGACTGACATGGACAAACAGGAAGGAAATGTACAAACTAAGGAGGAGGGCGAGCTAACATCCAGCCCGGAGGCGATCAAGACGGAAACGGTAGTAATGGGACATACACCTGAGAATCTTTTGCAAGGGAGGCCTAGTCCAGTGGTTCAAACCCCTAAACCAGTGCTGCACCATGACACGAGGCCACTCAGGGGTAGGCGACTGCCGAACTTTTTGGAAGAACGTTTCTTCACAAGTGCGGTCACAACGGAGTAAATGTGGTGACGGACAAAGATACTTCGGATGAAGACCTTAAGGCAAGCAACCTCAGGTATATCGGGTGGTAAAACTGTCATAACAGACAACGAGGGCAAGCTCAGGTGGGCGAGCGGACACCAATTAAGAAATTGTTAATTAGCCCGAAAAAGATCCCAAGCCCAAAGAAACGTGCTGCTGAATATACTTATTTCGATAGAGAAAAATGTCGTTTTTGTTGGGGCGACGATTATGTCCAAGATGATTTTATTGGCCTGGGCCAGATTGTGTCGGAGTACTTTGTAGATGTGCTTGAAAAATTGTGTTGGATTAAAAAACACAACAACGGGGTTTGCCATCACTGGTCGATGCCTATGGTAAAAACGTGGACGGAACCCGAATTCAAGCATTACACCAGGGACTGGAGGCACGAATCAGAAACAGTCAGAATAATCCGGCGCTTGTTAAATTGGTTGACGTAGAACAAGCGGAAATTCAGCGGACGAGGGAGGCCCTCGATAAAGCGGGCCATGCTTTATTAAACATATTAGCGGTCGAATGGGGAATGGCAGTCGTTGTGTCACGCCGGATTAGTAGTACCGAAATGAATAGTCATTCCAAAGAAACACAGGGGCATCAATTCTTTCGGTGATGGATAATGGTGAATCAAGCTCAGATCTATTAGTAGAGCAAGCAGGGCCGACGGTGGACTATCAGTCAGTTACGCAGCCCGTGGTAATCATGGACATTGCGGCACTTTACGACTTGGGCTCCTAACAGCTAGAGAATGTGGACGGCGAAAAAATGATTTCGGGCAAAGCCGACATCAGTGGTTACTCAAGCGTTGCAATGGCCACCGACAATTTGGACATCGCGGACGATATGTCGGCCATTAGTATGACTGAGGAAGACCAGTGGCAGATATTGGAAGAGTTAGAAAACTTGTGACGTGCCAACTTATGATGCTAACGGAATATGAAGCCAACGGGGCCCGACCCGAGAGGGGAAAAAAGTCGATTGGAGTTTAAAACTTTAGTTCATTAAACAATAAACTGATTATTGACTGATTGAATACTTAGTGCAGTAACTTAATGGTTATTATGATTTTCTTGATTTAGTTGAAGGGGGAGTGTAGTGGAGGCTGCTTAACTGGTTATGTAAATTATGTTATAAGCACTATTATATACTGTACTTAGGTAACATGGTCAAGTTCAACGCTATAGAGAGCGCTTGAACTGCAGATTGCGACTGACGAACGTCTTCTTTCAGAATTGAAACGTTATATTTGTCAACTGTTTTATTAAGTCTTACTTATTTCTATACGGAGGTTAGAAATAATTCCAGAATTCATAAATCAATTGCTTATACTATAAATACTGTAGACTATTTCTACTTTGGTCTTTTAGTAAAATAGGTTAATTGACATTTCTTTCATCTGGTATTTTGACAAGATAAGTTGTGATTGGGTTGCTATTTCATAGATAAATTTCGCATAAAGCACACTGTATGTTTGTATGCTATCTATTTTCGACTGGAAATATCCATAAAAGTTCTTACTTCAATCCTGACTCCAGTCTTATTTTGTTTTGTTAAGTCAATAGATATTATTGAAGTTCAGGAAAGCTATACGGTTAGGGTTTTTTTCTGGATATTTTTAAAGAGGTCTGTTTATAAAACAGTCAATTTCACAATTTTTATTTTTCGGGGGGGGGGGGGGGGGGGAGATGCGGATTTTCAAAATATTTTCGAAAGTTTTGACAATCTTTTTTTTAGGTCGACCAAATTGATTTTCCGAGATCTAAAGCACTAAAAAGACTCTGTTTTTGCCAAATTTTCTGCGTCGCAGGAAAATTTTTGAAAATACAGGTAAAAAAAGCTCGTTTTTGGGCACTTTATGGAAAATTTTGACGAAAAATAATTAGGTTTTTTGCCGCGCGCTCCCCCCTCAAAATTAAACATTTTGGCTCCAAAGGCGCCTTTAGAAAAATTTTAGGGTCGCCCGGCCAAAAATGGATTTCTTAAAAAGTACCAAAGGGGGGACCCTTTGAGTCGGCAGGGGGTCGAATACCTGAGACGGGGCGTCCAACACTCCCGCCCCCCCCCCCTAAATTCGCCGCTGTTTTGGACCCTAAATTCTGCCGTACTAATGCTATTGCTTCAACTGTTTTCAATGTAAAACCCGAGTATTCAAATTGAAATAACATTATAGTGTGACGCCTGGTGTCAGAATTACCACAGACGACAAACAAAACTTAGAATACGCTCGGCTTTATTCAAAACATAAACCTGGCATAATTATCATGCATATCTATAACAATTGATGTTTCAGATGAAAACTCGAGCCCGGTTAAAGTCTCGGCAAGCTGCGTGAGAGGATCATGAATAGGTTCAATTTATTCTAATTATACAGATCATACAATATGCAATGGGTCGAAATTATGGATCTTGTTAACTACTTGCCCCTTGTAACGAATATCCCCCCTATAAAGAAAGAATTGAACAGTTAAGCATTGCCAATTTATACCTTGTTAACTACCCCCCCCCCCTTGCAATGGGGGGGGGGGGGGAATAGTTAGCAAGAGCAAGATCCGAAATTATAATTTCACCTATGATCTGTTAGATTGGTGATATATAAATGAGCCCACGTGCTATTCAGCTATATACTGTGGATGAATGACAAGGAGACGGGTCCGATCTAGACAGCGAAATTAATTACGAGCTAATCAAACAAAGTGAAGGTATTTTGGCGGGTAATTGAACGAATGAGGCGGTAAACGAATAATTGTTTCACAATTTACTTGACCTCATCGAACGAAAAATTAAAATATCACAATATTCGGCGAATACTTTTTTCCTAATTGAGTGCCTTGTGTCTGCTTTGTATGTTTTACTGTATTTCATAATTGCTTATTAAGTTCACGGCCTGGATCAGACCCGTCTCCGTGTAATTTACCTATCTTTTGTGATATGGGTAGACTGGGTCAGTCGAGTTCATCTTTTAATTCCTTGTGATGATCTGTGATTACAGATTGAAGTGACTCTATGATTCGAAATTGAATTAACCGATCGAATTAAAAACTGACAGAAAATGCGCAAAGTAGATACCCCATCTGCAGGCTTACGTCCACAAGCGGATTTAGGGGGGGGGAGCGGACGCTTCTTCTTTCAGAGATTCGATAGTACCAAAGGAGGGACCCTTTGGGTCGGCAGTGATTCGAATCCATGAGCGGGGGGCTGGGGGTTGGGAAAGCGTTATTTTTTTCGTAAATCCGCCTTTGACTCTGTGCATTCTCTGTCAGTTTATATTTTCGGCCGGTTTATTCAAATTCTTATCGCACGACTCACTTCAATCTGATGGAAGTAATTACAGGTCATCTCAAGGAGTTATAAGATAAGCTCAAATGACCCAGTTTTGTGGTACATAATATTTGAGTGTAAGATACAAGCCTTGCTAAATCCTAAATTGCACAACCAAAATGCGTTATCACTCAACTTTTCAGCGAATGCTCCGAAACAAGTTCACCAAAACTTATATTTCAACTTCTGCAGCTCTGAGATCTCCAAAACCCGTCATGCCGGCAGGTCCAGTGCCGCAATGTCTTCAGCAAACTCCCAATTTAAGTTACGAGGAGCTTCTTAGTATAAAAATGGAGAACTTGAACCGATCACTTAAAACCTTCTTCTCGAAACCTCTAGTTCTATCATCAGCTAGTATGCAATGGGTGTTTGACATAGAAAATAAAAGGTATCTGGACTTTCACGGTGGATTCGTTGTCATATCAGTGGGACATTGTCATCCAAGACTGCGCGCGGTGCTGAGAGATCAGATTGAGACACTATGGCACGCACCCTCTAGTTATACCCATCCTCAGATCATAACTTATGCTCAGAAGTTAGCCGCAAAGCTCCCGGACCCGTTGAAGGTAGTTTACTTCGTCAATTCGGGCTCTGAGGCGGTTGACATGGCTATGCTTTTGGCACGTCTTGCCAGTGGAAACTCAGATATAGTGGCGCTGAGAAACGCGTACCATGGAACCAGCATGGGAGCTTTGGGGTTGATGGCCGTTCCAACATGGAACTACAACGTACCAAACAGGCATAATATCGTGCACCTGGGAATGAAAGTTGATCCTTATCAAGGACATTACGGGGGGCAAAACTGTCGTGATAGCATGTCTCAAGTAGTAGGACGGCCTTGTGATTGCAGTGAAGATCAGTGCAAGGCATCGCAATTGTATGTTAAGGAGTTTCAAGACACTGTTTCCTACATGACAAGCGAAAAGATTGCAGGGTTCATCGTTGAATCAATCCATGGAAGCGGTGGC